ATCGACGATCGTGAGGACAGTGAGGTAATAATTGTATAATGTAAAACGTTGAATCTTTATTTTCCACGACGAATAGTCACATGTGAATATATTGCTACAGTCCGATCCAAATAATCAAGCTTTTGTAACACTAATTATAATAAAGTAAACGGTGATACTGCTAATCGCGTGATTGTATCGCACACATCGGTGATGATAATCGAATCGGTGACGAACGATATTATGCGTGTAAGTAGAAAAACCGAGTGCGGGGTATATTGATAAGTGCGCCAAAAATCTTTAAAAATTCGTGCGATGATATCGTTGTTCACCTTTTTAGTTCTGCTTATACATATATACATTATATGTATATTCTTCCTCTCGTACGTTTGCGCGCGTGCACTTTTTCTCCCGCTCGCCGAAACCCGGCCTTCCACCGGCGTTACACGACCGTAACGTAACGCGTTTGTGACACGCTCGTTGTCACTCTTTTCTCCGTTGGTCCACCACCGTTTTTCGGTGTTACGAACGTGGAAGGCCGGCTCGACGCGAACGAGTCGTGTCCATTATTCGCGACGTACACAAGTTCCCTTTTCTGTCTCACAAACCATTCATCTATTTCGAGACAAGCTTCTCTTCATTATCAATTTAAAACTTAACGACGCGAGCCACGACGCGGTCGACTGTGAAGAAGAAAAATGTAGACTAGATTCGGTCTTGGAAATAGAATAGACGCTTTCGCCAAACGTTTACAGGCTTGTCAAAGCTGCATTAAAATATAGTCTCGTTAGCCTCGAAGGGGTTGAACTCTAAACGCTATTTTTCCACGCGTGTGTACGTCGAGGCTTTCTTTCTTCTTCGCGAACGCGCCGATGGTACTCGGTGAACCGTGATTCCTTGTAAATTTCGTCCAGCTCCACGAGCCAAGAAAGAAAAAAAAAGATGATGCATAATATCTATTCTCGACGTTTTCGGGGCGCAAATCGAGAGAATCCCGAGGATTCAGCTCATTATTAAAAAGATTGTGAAAGCCTCTTTACAAGTTCGACCCGGTCTTTTCCGGTGATTATCTAAAAAAGTATGAACCAAATCGAGACGGAAGAAATTTTGGAGAGGACCCAGAAGATCCTCGGGGCCACACGAATATCCTCTTCGTTAGTCGCGCTCTCTAATTCGACGACCAGAATTTCTAAAGATTTTTGGGTGTGACGCCAGAGATTTAGGTGTGACTGAAAGGGAGATGTTTGGTAAAGGAAACGTAGGGAGATGTCGTGAGAGGAAAACGAGAGATTGCCAGACCTCTGCAACGCCGGGAGACAAAAGGAGGAACAGGAGGAGGAGGAGGAGGAGGAGGAAGAGGAGGAGGAGGATGGTATCGAGGATCGTGCGATTCGAGGTTTCTCCTCGAGGGTAGACACGAGCGCGCGTCTCTTCCGATCGATACGTAGTTGCTACGTAACGTGCATGCACAGTTGCGTTTCCTCATTTGGACCGTAGCCCCGAGACCCGAACAATTTAACAGATAAACACGTGTCCCTCTGAACACTAACGTTAACAACGATAGCAATAGACGATAGACGTAACGATAATAATTGCATGCGCGAAATTTCATTATCAGATCACGTAAATTCTGATCGGGTGGACTTAGTAAAATATGCTCGACACCCTCGTATACGACACCCTCTTCTCGCGTAAAGAAACATAAAAATAATGAAGAAACTGAGGGGAATAAACGTGCCATCTTTGAACGCGCAATAACGGTTCAAGATACCATTTTGGGACGAACCGATGAAAAATAGCCGATAAATAAAAAAAAAGGAGAAAGGAAAGATGAATGAATTAACGATAATAACGATAATTGAAACACGCTAACGTTAACATTAAACGCTAAAAATTAATTGCTATCGATAATACTATCACTAACGATACTACTATTAACGATAACGATAAAAAAGGATATAATAATTTTAACAATAAGGGTAATAATTATTAATAAATTAATAATAATAATGATACTAATACTAATAATAATGATTAGCTAATAAACGATGTGTAATATCGTGTCCATTGCCTGTCGCGAGAGGGAAAATCGAAGCAGAAGAAGAATAATAATAAAACCGGGTACCTACAAAGTGACGTGCCTTTGAGACTCTTCGAAGCAAACGATCGGTTCGCCGTTTTCGAACCTTAGACATCCGTTCCGTCGGGACACTCGGCGAGCTTCTCCCGCGGATGCGTCCGTATTGCGCGTTTTGTTTTATCAACGAGAAAGTCTCTCCGCGATAATCGATCCATCTTCCGGCACCACAGCATCTGGCAATCACGTATCGCTTCTGTAGGAATCGGGTTACCCTCAAATTGTTCAATTACCATATTTTATATCTTCATTTTTCTGAGCATTAATTAGTAAATACAGCAGGAATACAACAGGTTCTTAATTTGTTTAAAACTTTTTAACATTGGAAATCTTGTACGAGCATTTATTTTTTATATTTTTTATTTATGAGAGATTAATTAGGGCATTCGGGATCGGAGAGTGCAACAATTTGAAGGTGACCCGAGTAAGAATCGCGAGTGGGCAAGAACGTGAACGATCACGTGGGGAGGGAGAGAGAGTGAATGAAGCGAGTGAGAGTGAGAGACTGGATCGCGAGGCTACGAGAGAATAATCGAGACGATAACTAAGATAACGATCCGCTTGATGATAATCCTTTTTCTTAGCGCGATAGGGGAGAGCTGCGAATAAAAGAGAGAAAGAGAGAGAGAGAGAGAAAACAAAAAAACAAAGAAAACAAAGAGATGCGACGAATATTTTGGAACGATTTAAATCGACGGGGAGTAGTAGGACGGGTCTTAGGGGGGGAAAAAACAAAAGAGTGAGGAGTTAGAGAATAAATTGAAGAAAACAAAAATAATAATGTCCATGTTGCTAAATATTTAGCGGTGAGGTAGTATCTGCGTATAGCGCGACGTCTTATAGTATAAAGAAAAATAAATTAGTATGTAGAGCGAACGAGGTGAAATAGAGAGACACCGAGCGTGACTGCGAGTACACGAGTGAATGTGCGAGCGAATTTAAGAGCGTGCAAGAGAGAACGGGAGAGAGTGTGAGAAAAAGAGAGAGAGAGAGAGAGGGAGTGAGTAAGGAACGAAGAGTTCCGCGCGGAAACGCGCTTACATATGTACACACGAAGATTTAGGAATATCGCATGTGCATACATCCGCAAAGGAAGACAAGTAGACATACGTACGTAACTATATGTATTGTACATACAGGGTGAGTCAATAATAACTGTCAACTGAAAGAATACACATGCTTATTGTTTGTCTATTGATTTGATCAGAACGTCGTCTCCGAGTGAACGAGACTTCCGTTTATTGGAATACGTAAGATATTCGTCCGTTCGATGATTCCTATTCGAAGCGTCAAGCGCGTTTTAATAAAATCCATTTGTAACGAGTTACATTTTGGATGGCAGTCCTTAATGACGGTCACTCTGTATACAGGGCGGTTCCAGCAGGAACAGGAACGATCATTCGAGCGCTCAGTTTCGTTACTGCCCTTTGCTTCTACCAAAAACGTGTACAGCAATGACTTATGATAAATTCATCTCGACGAGAGTAAAAGTAACTGAAATGAAATCATTCCCATTCTGTTTCCTTCCGAGGCGCCCTGTATACGCGTAAGCGAAGAGGAAGACCGCACGCGAGAGACGGGGGAGCGACAGGAAGCAAAGTAAAATAATAATAATAATAATAATAATAATAATAAAAAGAAAGGCAAGGGAAAGACAAAAGAAGTGAGAATTCGCGGACACAAACGAATGAACGAACAAACGAACGTAAAACACGTAAAACACGTAAAACACACGACACACACACGACGCATGGTAGAGGACAAGAGGACACAAATTAGTAGATTTAAACAATTTTAGGAGATAGATTTTTAGGCGAAGTTGTCGAGCCCGTTCCTTCGTAATTAGAAGTTATGGTAGCAGTAGAACGAAACAAGCCTGACACGCATCGAGAACACAAAGCCCGTCGACTCTTACCTAGTGAGTTTAAACGTAGTTAAAAGAATAAGCTTCGCTCCTGCGGCGGCGATCCTTTTGTTTCTCGTCGAAAAGAAAAGAGGGAAGGTGCGAGGGAAAGAACGGAAAGACAAGGTCCGCTTGTGGCTTCCACGAACCGTTCAATCCTCCTCGGCCCATTCCACGCTTCGCGATCATCTCGATCCTTTTTCTTTTCTCCTCCGCGAACGGAGACGCGATCGCAGAATCGATTTTCGCAAATATGACAAAAATGACGAAACGCGTTCGAACACAACGGCTGGTCGAACTGCGTCGCGTTGAAAATCGATTCTCAACAAGAAGATTGGATTTTGTTTAATTAGAACGGGGAGATGCCTCGGAACGCGAGGATGGAATGCGCGACGAGGAGGAAAAATTCGATCGGCTCCAAGAGTAACGAACTGGAAAGACGAAGACGAAGAAGGAAACGAAAAGGAGAGGGAGAGAGTACCGTGTCCATTGTAGTCGCGCGTAAATTATTATGAATATTATCGCATCATTACTGAGTATATACATACCTCTTCTGTACATACAGTTAAACGGCAAGCCAAACAATAAACGAGTGACGAGTAACGGGAGTTAATATACGTACGCAAGCGAATAATAAAATAGAATAACGACAGGAGGAGAGCACGGATATTTGCGAGACGGTGTTGAAACTATTTTTCCGTGACGCGCTGCTGTATAATCGATTCGTTCGGTTTAAGGACCGACTCGCATACATGCACGTATGTGTGTACGCGAGTCGTTCGCATATTATATTACATTAATTACGCTATCGCGGCGGCGGTTCCGATCTGACGATGTAACACGGTGTGTGATTTCACGGCACAGCGTGATCAAAGAGTTAGGCGTATATTACGGTTATTAAAACGCGTTTCGTACGACGAGGATCGCGGTACAGCGGAGAGCCGGAGTTCACGTGATCATTTTTCTCGTTTTATAATTGCTCTGTAATTACCGTTTCGTCGCCTCTACCTAACCACCCAGTCCAGGGCACAGCAAGCTTTTTTCGTTCTCCGGAAACTCTCGGAAGCATAACATAGTTTCTAGATCCTAGGCGTATAGAAACGATCATCCTCCCCTACCGTTTATCGAAACCAATGCTCAAACGATACGCTGTTGGTTTTACAGGGGGGAGAAAAAAAAGAAGAGAAACGAGTGAATAAACGTGAGAAAGCTTGAGAGAGGAGACCCAAGAATTTCTTTACCCGTCTGTACCTATAGGCCTGTAACACGTCGTGTATGTGCAGTGGAGTATTAAGGGAATAATAAAGAGTACACACTTTTTATATGCCTGGCTTTTAACTTTCCATTTTATCACAGTCTTTACACAACCGGGTAGATTACACTGTTTCCGAGTAAAACAGGTCCCTTGGACATTTTTACACAATAACACGAGAGGGACATAAAAACACGAGTTTAATCGCTAGGAGTGCTTATCAGCACGCCGGTCAGTTTCGTTGACAATGCATCTTCGGTTCACGTATAATTGCGTATAATTATTAAATTGAACGAACCCGAAGCATTTTTCACGATCGCACGTATCGTTCGATTAGTACATAAATTCAGGTGGCATTACTGATAGAGAAAATTGGAGAAAATCGGTTGGGTGACGAAACGAGGAAAAATCGCTTCCGATTTATACTCACAGAATTTGACTTTGGATAAGAAACTGCGAGTTAGAAAACCAGATGGGCGATATAATAAGGAACTGGATACAAGCGAGGCTGGGCATCCTGATGGATCTCACGCCGGAAGTGTTCGGTCACTATACGAGGGACGGTATCCTCCTCGCTCAGATTCTCCACACCTACGACATAATAACCCGCGACCAACTGGAGACGATAATCGTTACCCAGGATCCCGCCCTGTGCCGGGTCAACCTGAAGCACTTGAGGTTCTGGTTGCGGTTCGTCGGCATCGATTGCGGTGATGAGAGCATCGAGGAGATATCCTGCGGGAAGGGCACCACGTCTCTGCGACTGTTCTATAAACTGTACCTGGCCCTAGAGACCAAAGACAGGTTGCACTTCATCACATTGCAAAAGGAGCGGGAAAGATTCGTTCCTACGTCGAAGAAATTCGAAGTGACCAAAGTCTGCGAGGACCCGCCATCGTATCAGCCGCCGGAACATCCCCTGTCGAAGAAGCTGGCCAAAGGTCAGGAGGTCGTCGAATGGTATCGATCCCACGTACCATCGATTCTTCAAAAACTGAAGCAGGAACGCGAGAAGCTGGAGATGGTGGAAGACATCTCCTTGGTCAAAATCGCCGATCATTGCTTCCCCGAGGTAGCTACGAGATACAAAGGTAGCGTAACTCGAATCAGGCTTATCCGCCGGTAGAATCTAGGTTGTCGAAACAACGATTTAAACAATAGATAAATTATAAAAATAGTTTCGTAATTATAATTTTGGATAATCTAGATTCTACTGCCGTTGGTTCGTGGATATACAATGCTAAAATACAAACGAGACATATTAAAGATAAGCTGAACTAATTAAAGGTGAAGCAACTAGCTATAATATGTCAAACGCATGCCGTTCGTTAAACGAGACCTTTAACGTTATCAAGTACATAATTGAAATACTCGACCGACTTTTTTTTAGAACATGTATTCATGTACGTACGTAGTCATGTAATACATACATTAACTAGGTCTACGGTTCGCGTCCGTAAATCTAGTATTAAAAGACGATCACATGGATTTAATAATAAATTAGACATCGGAAGCCTCGCCGCATATTAAAATGGAGCAGAGCAAGGAATTGGATCAGTTCGCCGTGAAGCATCGCGTTCGAGTGAAGAGGAGAGATGATGAGCCAGAAACGGAGGAAGAAGAAGAGAAGGTCGAGAAGGAAGTCCCTGGGGAGGATCCAGAAATGGCTAAGATGTATGTCCAGTGGCTGAAGGATCGCAAGAAGCACGCGATGACCGCGAACGCTCTCAAGACCAACATGCAAAAAGCGTTGTTGTCAGAGTTATGGGAGAGGATGGCAGAAAAACAGGACAAGGTCTTCGACGAGGCTATAGCCAGACGAGTCTTAGATCAATCCAGATACGAGAAGCAGATTGTGACAAAACTGTGCGAGGTGCGAGAGCAGAAGAACATAATGGCGGAAAACCAAAAGGTCGTCGAGGATATAACTCAGGAAGCGAGGGAGGTCGAGCACCGAGCTAGCTATGAGCGCGCGCAGGATCTGATCTGGAAGCAGGAGAAAGATTACGAGGCCGAGTGTCGTCGAATGTGTGAACTGCGCGACAGGCTTCTCATCGAGAAGGTGCAAAAGATACAACAGAAGCATTATACATCCTGTCAATCGGCCGTCTCAGACTTGACGAGCATCGCGATGAACATGGGTGTCCACCGCCGAGTGAATGCGGGCCGCGTCCCCCTCCCTCTGCTCAGCGAGTGGAAAACTATGTTCGTCAAGTCTCGACCGATTTTTGACGAGGTGATATCGTCTCACGACAGAAACGATCAGACGGCCCAAGACCAGACGGAGTTGATGCTGAAGTCGGATCTGTCGACCAAGTTCGACAAAATCGAAATGCTCCGAGACGCGCTGTTCGAGGATTACCTGGAGACAAACCAGCCCTGGGACCATTCGTTGCCGTTGCTCGGCGAGGACACGCGTGAATACCTCGAACTGGGTCGCGTGGTACTCGGGTACATCGTGCACCGTCTCCTCGAAGGTCTTTACGCCTATCCACTGAATCGGTCGCAGACGCTGTTGCTGAAAGTGAGATACATCGTCGTGGTCCTCGGGATCGACAGCAAGACGGTTTACGAGTCGATCAAGCCTCTCCTCGAACACTCCGGGATTCGCGCGGTGCGCATGGAGGACGCGATCAATTACTGTCTCGAGGCATACAAGCGAGAGATGACCGACGTAGAGTATATCGACTTGAACGTGGTCGCGGCCACCACGGATGCACTCGAGGAGCTCCGAGCCGATTTTGCAGCAAAGCAAGAAAAATGTTTAAAGAATGCCAAACTTACCAGACGTTCTAAGTTAGCCGACGAGACTTCGATCACCTCAGACACGGCCACTAATAAGAAGAGCAAAGGTAAAGAGAAGAAGAGATCAACAATGAAACCGGAAGCCGAGCAGTTGACTCAGGACAAAGAGATTCAAACACCGAGAAACATTCCTTACGACGATGTCGACCCTGTTTTGACCGATGCAGCGTATATCGGTACGATACTTCTCCTTTTTACCACTTGTATTTCTAATTTCGTACAGAGTACAAAGATACGCAAAATAATTAGGACATCTGCTTAAATATTATTGTATTTTTTTAATTCAAGTATATACAATTGTTTCGAGGCTACATGGAAAATAAAAATGATCTGTCGTATAAACATAGTGATTAAAAAATACCTCCTTACTTCCTTAATGGATTAATCAAATATTTCATCATTTTGCACTTTGCCTGTTATTTCGCATCGACAATTAATGTTGCAATCATTAATATGATAAGACGTGTACTTAACACGATACTGCATGTACATTTGACTCGTTACCTATGTCATGCATGAAAACAGACTAATGCACAGGTAAATGGGCCTACGAGTTTCTAATTCTGAGCGAGCCGATCACCAATGAATTGTCCACGAAAATCTTGATCGAATATCTGAAGAGTCTGACGAACGCGAAGGGCTGGGCGTTGATCGATTATCCCAGTACTTATGAGCAGATGTCACGGCTCGAAGTCGCGTTGACCGGCACTATTCCACCGCCCGAGACGAAAGCTCTCGCTTTCGATGATATCACGATGGAAGATGTCGAGAGTCTGACGCCGAGGATCATCTTCGAGGACCCATCCGACCCATACGCGTCACACAGGTGACTACAGTCGCTCGAATAGTAGAAGCAGTCTTAACTTTGAAGCCAATTGTGTTACGGTCCAATTTCGTATGCATTCGGAAAAGTTATTTAGTATGTTAATTAGAATATCGATGGATATAAGGTCAGATAGTAAAAAATATCATTTATTAATTTCATGCTAACACTAGATTGCTGAACGCTGGATATATTTGACTCAGACATTAAAATAGAAGTTCTTTTTAAAAAATAGATTTTTATTTTAAAGAAAGTTTATTCAAAACAATTTTTACATATGTATTCTGTTTTTAAAATACATTTTGATCACCTAACAAATCCATACATAGCATCTCTTACATTTTGTACGACTCATGTTTATGAATAAAACAAGAGTAACGATGTCTACCCGGTTCAGGCAATCGAAGATCCTTCCCGATCCGATAACAAAACGCGAGCTGACGGCGATAGGTCAGCAGTTTGCGAAGCTGTTCGTTCGAGTGAAACAGCAACCGAAGTATTTCGAGATCGGTGGTAAAACTTACGAGGCGGTGACGGAGGACACGCCTTCGCTCGACAAGTTTTACGCGACCCGAAAGATCGCGCATATACTCTACTACTCTACCCTCGACCTAGCGACATTGAAGAAACTGGCAAGGTTGATCATCGGCGACCCACTGCAGAGGCAATCGTCCACGGAATTGTTCGGCGAGGTGTTGAAAACTTTCGAGAAGAATACGAAACACGGTGCGAGCTTGAAACCAGCGGTGGTCAGGCGACTGCTGACCGAGGAGGACGCGTTCGAACTGGAACAGCTGGACACAGACCTGGACGAAGGGGAGATGAGACAGGATCTAGCGATGGGTGATTATGAGATGGAGTTCGAACAATTAGCCAAGCCTGGCGAGTCCCATTGGGAATGGATCGAATTTCCCCTGTCCTCCATGATAATGACTAGCCTGGCGAGGATCTGGGAGAACGTGGAGAACATCTACGTGGAAGAACTGAAGGAATTGATATTGATGAAGAGCGTCCACGCGTCGAGCGTCGTCCCGTACACGGACTTCGTCACGCAGAACGCCCAAGATTTCATCAAACGTCCCGACAATAAACAGGACCTCCTGCACAAGTTTCACATGGCGTTCAACGCGATCGACGATAACGCGAGGAACGACGCGGACGTGAAATGCGAGTTGCATCGTCGCGTGGCTGACTTCCAATCGGAACTGTGGGAGATCTGCGACGAGAGGAGGCGTCAGGCGGAAGAAGAAAGGAAGCGATATATAAACGATCACTGGACGGTGCGCGAGGCGGTCATCCTCTTCAACGTTTACGTGGGCATTGTTCAAGTCGAGATAGACCGATGCTCGGACACGATACACTTGTTGCAAGACTATTATTTCGGTATGATGAAGAAATCGTTTCAAGAGGTTACCGCCTCAAAAGTGATTTTGAATAAGATCGATGAGAACGGTGCGGAAGCTGTGAACGGCGAAGACGAAGAGTCACAGACTCATGCCGATAAGGCCACTAGCCAAGGCAGGAGACGCGATCGAGCCAAAGCAAAAGCGGGATCGCCTAAATTAGAGGTTTCACTTTTCACGTATATTCAATTATTAGAACTTACAATTAGACAATTTTATTAGTTTGCATCTGAAAAAGCATTTGTTTGAAATAAACATACGATCTTCTAACATGTACATTAAAATATACGTTTCAAAAGCTGTGATCTCTAGACGAGAACGACGAGAACTTGGATTTCCTCTCCTCCGGTGGCCGTCGGCCATTCCGTTCTTCAAAAAGAGATCGACGAAATGCTGTTAGACAAGAACAAGGCCCTGAAGAGCATAGAGGATTCCTTGCTGTACAAAGGGATTCTGGAGAACGTTCACTACGCGAAGAGCATCGTGGAGTCGTTGTACACAACAGGAAACGAGGTCCTGAAAAGGGAACAGCTAGCCATTTCGAAGAGCAAAGAGCATACGATAGGATCGGCAGAATCGGCTGACTCGATCGAATTGAAGATACAATCGAGGGGGCAAGACATAATATTGGAGTGGCAGTACGCGTTCATGTACGAGATCGAACGAGTTCGACTGAAATTGGAGTCCATAATTGGAGTGGCGAAACTAGACGTCTCTTTCCTATTGGAGACATTGCAAAGGGCGTTCCATGGAATTTATGATGGCATCGTCGACAGGTTAATCCATCCATTGTCATTTCTCATATATATTTATACAGAGTGTTTGCGAAATCGTGGTACAATCATGTGGGTGATTCCTCACATAAAATCTAGTCGAAAACAAGGAATATAGTTTTTTCATACGTGGCGCCATTTTCGAGAATTTATATGAGGAATCATCCCCTTGCCTGTTGTACCACGATTTCGCAAACACCCTGTATAGGATTATAAAAACAGTCACTTGAAATAGTGTTAATATAATTTACTGATCTTATTGGAAAATATTTTATATGAATTTCCATTATTTCGTCTGGTCGGAACGTGTAGGTATTGGCGAGAAATGAAGAGCGTGAACGACATGGCGAACGTTTTCTGTTTCGCCATCGAGGAAGGTAGATTATTGGACAAGGAAATGTTACTGGACGGCGATCGATTCGTTATCCGTTCAAACGTTTACGTAGTCCCGATGGAACCGGAAAAAGGAATGAGCGTAAAGGAAGTTTCGTCGCCTCTGCGATTCCGAATAAATCATCTGGCACACTTGATGGACATATTTAAACGAGTCGCGCCGTACGCAAGTATGTGCGAGCAGTCTTTGGTGTACATCCTTCAGGATTTAGTGAGCCACGGCAAGGAGGAGGGAGAGACGATGTTGCTACCTTGCCACTGGTACCAGCTTCGTCCCAAAGATATTTCGAATCTCGTCGGGAAGTTGTTCGGTTCCGTAGATACGATCGATTGGAGGGAATTTCTTATTTACGCGATGGACTTACCTATACCGAATTGTTGCGATATACTAATCGCCAGAGATCGATTCCGTATACAAGATCCCGAGTTGAAAGAAGTCGTGAGCTTAGCTCAGTACTGCTGGACGCCTTTGTGGTTCCTTGAGTGCAACGAAAATTATCCTTACATTCAACATCTTCTGGGCGATGAATTTCAATGGAACCGAGAGGATCTCTTCGAGGAAGAATTCTATCATTTCAACAATGAAGCGTCGGAGAAATTGTTTATGGATCGAAGTTCGACTTCGGACGTAGCCGCGTGTTATTCCACCCCCGAAGAAACGCTCAGGCTAATCCTCGCCAAGGAATTGCTGTCTAGGATGTACATGGTGGATCAGCACACGGTCAACTATACGGCTTTGCTGTTGGCGTTTTGCAAGGAGGAGGACCCAAAAGACGGGTTTGCGAAAGCGTTAGCGCTCGCCTTGGGGAACAGAGTCTGTACCAACTTTGAGGAGGGCGAGAGGTATGTTCAGGAACTTTTGGACAAGAAGCGAGCGGCTCGTGAAGCCTCTCGCCGTGATGCTCTCGAGGTAAGGAAATTGACAGTGTGAAACTGGAGTTAGAATTTTCAAGCCTGTTATGGTGTGCATATGAAACTCGTCAAACTTTGTAGTCTAAAATAGGAATGTTCGATTCTTCGCAAAGAATCAAAATGAAAGAATCGATTCTTGCAGAATTCTTACGAAATCGATTCTTTTAGATAAACTACCTAAATATTCCTTTTTTTCTTTGGTGTTGGATATATGGGCAGGTATTATTAAAGGACATTGTGTTCAATAAAATGACAAATATTTTGTCATTTATTTCAAACATCATTTGTCACTTAATTGCGATTCGTTTAAGTGGTAATTGATGCAAATATTCCGCTGTTAATTTATTTCTGTGATCATTTAAAATTTTTCTCCAGAGGACAAGAAATCGATTATCGATTCTGGAATCGTTTTTGAAGGAAATCGAACACTAAAAAACCGATTCAAAAGATCGATTTTTTAACCCAAAGTATTGATTTTTTAGAGAATCAAATCGTAATCGAACATCCCTAGTTACGTCACATGATGTCATAATTTTATGTGAAACTTTCTAACTCTGTTTCCAAATATTTTACAACCTTGTTATTATGCATATATTATGCCAATACTAGAATAGAGATAAGAAAGTCGGATTCGTTTCAGATAGCGAAACGGATCGTCATCCATCTAATTTATCGAGTCGAAAGGAAGATCGATGCAGATAATTCGAGCGAACAGTTGGGCGATTCTCGCGTGTTGACAATTTTCAGTGAAGTAACTTTACCCGAGAGCGTCGCAGAGATCGAATCATTTAGCAGCGGAGAGTTTGGTCACGAGGAAGTTTCCGTGGCCAGTTTCTTCGAACAGAGAGCGAAAGATCAAGAAGTAGTCATTTATTGGCTATCGATCGACATCTTCCTCGTAAGCATGTGAATTCGTGATGATAAAAACTATCAATCCTTTACGATTAGGCTGTGACTCGAGAGACTCCGCATCCATTTCGTTCTCTCTTCCCATTTTTTATACTTTCCATGCGTCACCGCTACTTGGACTTTCGTATTTTCTACGTGCGCGTGCAAAGGAATTTCTTGAGTCACTCACACCGAGAAATCGCAAAATCTTAAATAAAAAAAAAGTTTTCCTGGTTTCACAAAATTCAAATAAAGAAGAGTTACAATTTCTAGTTACCCGTCGTTATCAACCCAATTACTAATACTTGAATAATTTCTTAATTTCATTGAATTTATCTTAGACAGTAATGGCTGCTGCTTTACCATGGCACACAGTGCCTCCAAACATTACCGGAAAAGATACAAGCCTGCGGGAGGCTTTGACTTGCGTGTACCAAGAATTGAGGGACGCCGATTTGAACGAGGAATCGGACATGGCCCTGGCTCATCGAGTCTTGAATCACGAATTTGTGTTACGGGTATTGAACAGCGTGACCAAGTTCATGACCAGGAATATGGGAGCCATCGTGGAGGAGATTTTGCAAGGGAAGAAGAACACGAAATTCGGTTAGCTGTTGAAGGTGAAACAGTAAAGGTACACAAAAATTTAAGGGGATTAAGCTTCAACAGGATTTATTGTTTCGATACATCACGAGTGTAACTTGTGAAAAATTGTAATCCTTCAAGTAAAATTGCGAAAGACATCGTACATTCTTCGTAGACGATGACACGGTCTCCTGCGTCCGATTCATTCGCATAATCGTTTTAATCGATTTTTATTGTTAATTCACGCGCACGCTCTTATCAACGAGCGAGAGGAACTCGCGTTCAGTTTATTTCTATGGAACGAACTCCGGTGCCGGGAGAAACCGAATCTCCCGTTTCCGTGTTCGTCGGCGGATATCTTAAATACCTCGGCACAAGCAACGGATTATAATAATCGTGTGTATTTACTATATTACACGCCTTTCTCGTTCGCTATCAATTACCCTCGCGTATATGTACAACTTACGGTTTCCTTATACTAACACTCCCTTCTTTTAATTGTCGTAAATGATCCAGCCATGTTGGATCAACTTTTTTAATTACCAAATATAAATAAAACGTTCGACTTCGTATTTGTCTGGGAAATATTCCTTATTTCTCAATATCTCCCCTCGGAATTTCTTTAAAAAGATAGAAAGAAAAAAAGGAGAAATTGCGACAAATTGAAATGATCAACGCGATCTGATCATAGATCTATTTACTCTAATCGCCTGATCATCGATTAATCGGCGTATAGTATTTTTTATAGTAAAGCAACAACCACTTCAACTGGCGTCGTTCTTCAACCTCTTAACGCTCGTATTATTATTCACTAGTATAATAATTGCAAATGATTGAATACGAAAAACAATGATAACAAATTTTCCTTTTATATTGACTGATCAGGGGCGCGCCCTTGCCTACGTGCGTTAAGAAGTTAAATTGTATCTCAGTACTTGACTACAGGTAAATCTGCCCGTTATCCTTCCGGTAGGAGTCTTTTAACTTCTCTGATCCTAATCTTCTTTTTACTTGAATATCGAAACACAACTGTTATCGTTACGTCTACAAATGGGTTTTTATAAAATACCTGTTTTCTCAAACGTACGCCGGACTTGTACGATGCACCATTGACTGCGGTTTTTCCAGGAGGATAATGGACTCGGGTTAATGTTCACGAGGTTGGGAGAATACGGTAGAGAGGGGGACGATCGTTGGATACCTGATAGCACATGAAAAACGAGCAAAATCATTGATTTCTTCTCGGGTGGCTCCGTTTGAAATTCGATCGGTAGGAACAACAACGATTAAAGGGAAGGTAGATTCGCTCGTATGAGTATCGGAGCATGCGTGTTTCGATTCAGGAAATCTGTCCTTTCTCCCGGTATCCAACGGTCCCGCAGGAGACGCGCGCGCGTAACTCTACCATCCTCGTGTTCGATTACGAGATTCATTTTTCTCGCCACCACCGCCTTCGTAGAGGAAGATGCGTATTATTCACAGCCCGTACTCTCACCCTTAACGATTTAAGTATAATCAATGGGAACCGTTCCGAGTGTTCCTCGTATATAATGGAATTAGTCGGAGGGAATACCGAGTTCGCAGTGGCTCGCGTGTTCCCTCGTGAAATTTCGATACTGCCCATCTGTGATATTGATTAGAAACGATCGAACGTGACGCGACGCGACCCAATAACCGCGCAATCTACGTTAACTCGTGTGATATGTTTTTTTCTTTTTTTCTGGATCCAGACCCGACCGCCGCGACGTTCTTTTTCCTATCCGAAACGATCCGCCCACAACAGTAATAATTCCCGCGTAGTTTATACGAAAAACGTGACCGGTTCACGTTTTATGAAGAGCATTCTCGAACACAGCCGATCTTCGACGTCGGTTTACGTTACACACGCTTAAGTACCGTTTCCGTCTGCGCGAGCCGCGCGCTGACCTCTCGTTTACGAAAATAAAACGCGAGCGCGTGCGACGCGAATTAAACAGTCTCGTTAATCCTCGTACGTACGCGAATCTTATAAAAATAAGTTTCCTCTGGTTCACGCGTCACGCGCGATGGTAATCCCCGCGAGTCGAGCGAAACACGTTCTCGTATTCTGTAGACGTGAATTAACGCCAAAACCGCGAGGCATGGTTCAGAGGTGGCGTCGCGTAGGAATGTTACGAAAAGAAAGAAAGAAGTTAATAGAGAGGAAAGGAGGAGATTGTTCCGCGTTCTACGGGAGAACTCCGAGAAAGGAGGAAAATTAAAGTAAATACGTTTCGTACAGTTGTTCGTAGGAAGTCTGACGGTGGTCACGCAGACTGGAATTAATGTAACTAAGAGGCTCGGTTACGAAGCTGTTCCAGATACGCGGCAGTCGACCGGAAACCCGGCTTCGCTGACGTTTCACGTAACAAGACCGAGAAAATCGCGATCGCTTCTACGAGCGTATTTACGCGTACAGATAGATAGATGTGTACATGCGTACATACGCGTATAGATAGATAGATAGATAGATAGATAGATAGGTAGATAGGTAGGTAGGTAGGTAGGTAGGTAGGTAGGTAGGTAGGTAGGTAGGTAGGTAGGTAGGTAGGTAGGTAGGTAGGTAGGTAGGTAGGTAGGTAGGTAGGTAGGTAGATAGATCGATAGATAGATGAGTGCATGCATACATACTTGACACACGTACTGGCGAATACACTCGCATCCTGATAGCGGAGAAAGAGCATCTCCTTTCGTTTCGAGATTCCTCGCTCTCATTCTTCCTTCTCGATCGTTGACCACGCTTCCAGACGCACGACAGACATACTACTTTCTTCACACTTTTACACACATACACTCTCCTTTGGCACGTTAGCTCGTACGCTACATCCTATCCGCTTCTCTTTAGCCTATCGTTGCGATAAAAAAATACGAGGAATAAAAATATATCACGTAATAACGTTCCCCTCCGTTCGTTGTTGGCCAGAGAGAAACGACTCGCCAGGGGTTGGTGTCCGTGTCCCGACCTCTCCTGACGTTTTAAGTTCGATCGTTCATTCTCTTCGCTCTCGTTTCTTTTCAATGTTTCTCGTTGATATTTAGCTACTTCGCAGCGTTCGGCGTTCGAGGAACGTCACGTAATTTATCCGCGCGATCCCGAGGTCTCAGGATCGCTAGCCGATCCAGGATAGCCATCAGCTGGGCTGCGGAGGTGTCAGCTTCACCAACAGCCACGTGTACAGTTTCGGCTTCTGTTTATCGACGAGCTCGTATTGTAGATTGCTCAGGCCGTCTGTCGCGAACCTCTTCTTGCCTGTTCTCAGATACTCGTACCTGTAGACAGCCGAATCAAAATCATAAAAAGATATATAAAAAAGAATAATAAGAATTATTGGTAGAATTATATAAAGTGTTAATAAAATCAGTAGCGACAGCGTTTTTTGAAATTGTTCGACGAAGAAAAATACTCTGATTCGAAAGTGTTGGAAGGGGTGTAATAAATTACCTTTTCGGGTTGGCCTTCTCCTTTTTGTGCGTGAGCATCTTATACCGCGCGACGTTCGCCGGGTATCGGGATATATGGAGACCGTGTGCTTTGATACGATTCGCCATGTCGTCGTCTTCGCCGCCCCAGCCCCAGAACACGTTGCTGAACCCGTTCACCAGGTGAAAGTGTTCGCGCGACATCGCTGACACGCCACCAAACAGATCGGCATACGGCAACCTGTATAGAGCAACGTATCGCGCCTGTTGTGCAAATAGCTCGAGGAATTCTGGCGTATCGAATCGACTACGCACACGCCGCGGGCCTTCTAATTGGAAAGTCGCGTGTGTCTAAATCGCGTTCATACAATCCCATGGATTCTTTCGATCCGGTTTCGTTACCAAAAGCAGTTTAAGCAAATATTAATAATTGTATGAAACGACATGCTGGTTTCGTGTTCGAATCTCTGAGACCGCAGAAACGAACAATGTTCGCTGGAATTTGTGGACGCGATAAAACGAGTCCGGACATTGTTCGAATTTCGTCGTACCTGTATTTAAATTTGTCCACTGCGACGGACATATGCCTCGGTTGCTCCGGGCACGTGTACAGATTCCTATCGTCTTCCGGAAGTAGGTCGACGTCGTGAAAAATGAAACAGTCGAAAGTTCGTTCCTTCAACGCTTCGACGTATCCCACGTTCATGAGCATCGCACGGTTGAACGTCTCGCTACCTGAGAAGCGAATGAAAATATTCGATATAGATCTGGTGGTGTGCTACCGACTTCAATTAATTGAATTAATGACTTAATGACTTGCTTAATCCAACAACGCGACACGCAACGCGAACTGGCATCCTAATAACGAGACTTCGAAACCGGTTATTTTGCAATATTTTATAGATACTATTTTTCGGTAAAGCAAAAACTGTTCAGCAACTACTTAGCTCATGCAATCTGTTTATCGATACTCTTGCAAAATATGACCAGAATTGAATGGAGGGCAAGCGGTTCGATTAAAAGTTCGGCGTCTTATCGTTGATAAAAAGTCTCGAAAAGTGGCTGAGCGGCTGGCGAAAAAAGTAGGCCGCTACCTTTGTTCAACTTGAACTCGTTCCACTGCACTGTTCTAGCATCTTGCGGACGTACGCAAGCCGCACAAATGAGAAGGTAATATACAGAGTGAATCACGAATCGTGTTCAGTAGAGAGTACCATAGAAAAGATACAGTTACATTCCGATATTTACCGAATTCTTCTTGAAATTCTCTAACAGACAGGCGTAAAAAGATTATACTTAATGCAAAAAGATGACCTTAAAAAAACATTAAAGCAAGAGTTGAAAAATAATCTTTTATAATCACGTTAAAGCTTTCTGCAAAAACTGATAAAAACATTTTCAATCGGACTGCTAATAACAGAGTAATCTCCACTGATCACGATTCGTGATTCACCCTGTATACTCGCTTCTTCATCAGTGCAAAGGTAAATTAACGAGAAAAGGACTGAAATTGTCACCAAGACTGAATGAAACGTAATTTGGCGAATAATGATAGCAATTAAAAGGATTCGAGAATTCCACTTTTGCAAATTCTGATCTATGAACCAGGACGACTGTCAGTTTAACTCTCTGTGATCAGTTATCCAGAATATTTTCAAAATTTTGTCGACAGTCAGCACTTCTCAATTCTCGAGAGTCATCAACTGCGTTCGTTTAAATATCGACAGATTCGACATCGTCCTACGTGTGCGCGCACAGAAACGATGCATCTGGGTCAACCTAAACCTAATGCACGAGATCGCGTCAAAGAGGGGAAAAAAATGCTGGGTCGCGGTCAAAGGAAAATCGTTTTCTCACGTGACGACACCGTCCGCAGTCGATTACCGTCTTGCGCTTCGTATAACTCTTCCTTTTATGCAATCACTTGTTACATACGACTTTTTATATCATTTATTACACGTACACACACTCGCATATAATACGCGTGCGCAGATATATTTATGAGATAACTCTTCGTAATGACACGCAATATACAAATCGTTACGCGCCTTAATAATTAATCCGTATCTTGCACAACGCGTGTGAAAAGCTTCGGAGAGGGATTTTATTAAAATTTCTGGGTTGGCAAACAGCAACGAATGCAAATTAAGTCCGTCCAACGCGGAGCTGCATTATGACGGAGGATGATTCTTAATTATACTCGCGTTTGCTGACGCGAGAAACTGGAACGAGCCTCGCAGTGAAGTCCGCTTCCTCGAGACGATTGATTCGGGTTTAATTGAAACTCGATGATCGATGAGCCGATCGACTCGATACTCATCACGCATTTTGTAACGGGCTTATTCGCTTTAATGGACACTGTAAAAGCGGGCAAAATCTACGTTCAGGAAATAACGTACAGGTTTTACATCGAAAGCCTAAGATACTTAGTGAATTATCGATATTATCGTTCCACTTCCTCTTTATTATATGAAGCAGGCTATCAAATAGGTTCGTTCGGTATTGATAGCTTACAAGTTGTATCAGCTATAGCCCCTGGCCACCGAATAAGAATATTTCTTTATACTATCGAATTATTTATGAAATATCGATTCCTTTTAACAACGCAATTTATATAGTGGATTTAAGGTAGCTCGCTATTTGAGTAACGTATCCAGAGAAGCCCCTACAATCGGCTTATTTTAAGATAAGAATATAAAGTGAAAATTTCACTATTAAATGTATATTATCATTTCCACATTCATAAAATTTTTAATGTTATATTATAAAAAAGTAGAAACGAAATAAAATAAACAACCGTTTATTTATGACTGGGGCCATGACGGGGTGATAAAAGTATTATTTATTAGCTTCCGTCCTTTTCCACAGAAATCTATATTTTTTTATTACATCATCGCATTACCCGTAAAAAATCTATAACCATCTATTTTTTTTATTGAAAACGTACATGATATGAAATCGCACGAGGCATTTATACAAAAGTTCCCATAAGCTCTCGTGTTAAGAATAAGAATTTCCTAATGTATTTTTTTAAACAATTTTCACGAAAACCCTATACTTTCTTTACGGAAAATGAAAGTTTAAAACTTTAACTATTGTTTAGTTCAACTTGTATTAAAATCGTATATGTTTTGCAAATGCTATCGAACTACCTTAAGTCCAGTATCGAATTTATGCTACGTACGGTCAGAGGAATAACGAGTTAAAGGTAAGTAATAAATTTTGATCATTTAGTCGGTTATTTAGTGCAGTAATAATTTCTACATGGGACAGGTTTTCATTGATGATATAACGCTGCAGAAAGGTGTATTTGCATACGGTTCGAACCGCACGATCAAGAGCTGTGCATAAATCGCGGCTCCCCGTTATCGAGAAGTCGCAACTGCGAGGATGCATATGTTCCTCGTACAGTTGCCGTGACGATAGCTACCGGGCCAAACGATATTAACGGTACCCCGTTGCGGCGCAGGCCGATCGACGACAGCTGCGACTAATCGCATCTGAAAGCGAGCGCCTTCGCAGACCCGCTCGGGGCTCCAGTCACCCCCTCGAATTGCATTCGAAGTTGACGGGTTTCGCGACACGGGTTTTCAACAACGCGGTCGACGCTCCATTCCCGTTACGGATTAAAGTACCGTGCCGTCACCCCGATCTGATTCCCCCGTTTCTGCGACGTCATTGTTTCACGAGACGAACTTTCCGCATTTACGAATAAAATAAGTTCCGAGCGCTGAGTCCTTCGAATCATCGAATCATCTCCGCGATGATTTTTCTGAATAAATCAATTATAAATCGTTCTGTGAGGTCGTTGCGATATCTTTAATTTTCTTTTACGAGGAATATAAAAAATCCTCGATCGACTGCTTATGCGATTATGCGTCGTGTCCGAAGGATAGGCGCGAAAAACGCGGCGGCTATCAGAGCCGAGCTGCCAATACCGCAATGCGGTATACGTGCAACAGTTATCGTAGCCCGAAGCGTCTCCCCGATTAATCGTAAGTTGGTTACGTAAGTTAGCCACACACACCTTTCTCTTATACACATCTGTGTGTATAAGAGACAGAGCCACACACACGCTGTACGAACGAGACCCTGACACTGATTCCGCTTCTGACAGTGGCCAATATTCGCACGTGTACAGAGCGACGGTACGGAAAACGTGTATGCATTATAGAGAAACAATGCACACTTACCTTTCTGCTCGACGATGAATATTTGATAGTCGATCTGTTGTCGAAGCAGCATCGGGTGAAGGTTGTACAATAAAGCTTGAAGATGTTGCGGCCGATCGCGATACGGAATCACGATCGCGACTCGATGCCTCGGCACGCAATCCGTCGGGCAACCCCTGCCACCCGGTTGAACCTCGGTGAACGTCTTCTCTATCACCGATAATTCCGGCGGCGATTTGCTGACGGCCAATGGACCGACTGTAATCAATTCAAACTTTCCTCCAAGTCCACTGGTACAAAGAACGTGAATAGAAGAACACGATGAAAAGAAGATTGATTATTTAGCGTCGCAAGTCACATAGAAAAATCTGATAAAATTATCAAATTATTAATTATCACATTCTCAGAAGCGAGCTATTTAATACAAGTGGTACGATTTTGGTACGGTACTTATTTGTTATTGAATTTAATCAGATTAGTTACAACAGATTAAAATTTATGAATGATACGAAGATACGATACGAGATAATAAGAACTTTAAAAGATGATACATTTGGTATTATTTGATGATGTCAGACGGTTTCAACGATAGGAAGAAATAAAGTATCAGAAGCACGAGAACATTGACAGCGTTACTAATGCGTCGAAACTCACCGAGATTCGGGGGTATGAGAGGGCACCGGGGCAGCACGGTGGTACTGTTAGTCGAGTTCGCGGTCGAAGATTCCTGGGAACTGGCGACGACGGAGGCGTTTCGGGTGGGAAACGTGGTTTCCAGCTTGGAGAAGTTGGAATTACCTTTGCCACCCCAGAGCACGGTCGTCGTCGTCGCATTGTTGTTAAGCATGCTCGATACCGTTACAGGCCCGTATATGATCAGCCCCCGCGGATGATGCCTATACATGCGATCCGCGTACCTGCAACGTAACACCGATTCCCGTTCTACAGTTGCAGGATAAGAAGATTGATTCATCCTAGAACTTTTTTAATATATTCAATGGCCTGCCACTTGTACTCTTTGATCGATCTTATATTTAAGATGGGGGATGTATGATTTTTGGTGTACCTACTGACATTTGATTTAAGAGTAATTTTTAGAAAGTCTGCACGACTCCATTTAAGGTATATTTGAAATCGTTAACGCGACGAAATTTATTCTCGGTCAGCCAACGGCCAGTGTATTTCTGTCCGCAAAGTCGTACTAAAGCGAATTCTAATTAAAGATACTAACTAGAGTCGGGTCATCAGAAGACGGTTCGGACTTTATCTCAAACGGCGAATTAAAAATCGGTGCCGTTAGAGAACTGTCGGTTATTTATAACTTCGAAAGATACAGTCGATTGAACTAATCAAGCACGATTCGAATCGTAAAGGGTCAATAGGTTCGTAATCGAGCGAACATTGTACGGATCCCAATTGGCTTTGCATTGCACTATCAAATTAACGCTTCCCTCGCCGTGCTGGGTGAAGCTTGATTAATCTATCCCTTATAATGGATTTGTTTAATTAACGTCGACATATCCTAATAATTGTAATTTTAATTCTGAACAATCTTTTGGCTCATAAATAAATTAATTTGATTCCACGATTTGTTATAGCTTCATATTTTAATGCTTTTAATTAGCCTGTGTATAATTATACAATATATACATACAAATATATTATCGATTCTGTCGAGGGGATAGATTAGATTTATCAGCGATAGCAATGAATATAAAAAAGGTAAGAACAATAAGGGGTAATGTGAGATTGACACGGTTTACGCGATAAGCAATAACGGTTGATGTCGAATCAGCTGGAGCCATCGACGAGAAATACAGCAATAATTTCCGACGTGATCACGGCGGCGTGGGCTGCTAGACTCGGATCGCAAATAATACTATGTAACAGCGCATGTCACCGCGATTAGACGCGGAACTGCTTGGTTCGTGGGACGACTATATATGTGTACTGTGGCCATTCAAATGACCGGCTATCTGCATCTGTAACGCCACGGACCGTATACGTAGCAGCGTCGACACGTGTCGCGTTAAACCCGACTTTTCTACGTGGAACAATCACCATAAGCTCTGTGACTTGCAATTACCGTCCTGACTAAGTACGCTATGTTTCACTAGAACTGCGCGATACGGATTAAATTACCGTTGAATCACAAGAGATTACGATTATTGCGCAGGCAGACTGAACGGTCAGTGTCATTACACATTACGTAAGGTTTTCTCTGTCAAAGTTACCCGATTATTAATTATTTTGATATAGCTATTTTGATCGAGTGATCCTAATTGATTTATTCCTACATAAAGCATGTAAATAGGAATTTTTCAAACGTTATCCTTTGATTTAATTTGTCACGTTACCTACTTTAATTACGTACGACGTGACTAAATAATCGTCGATCAAATAGACGTAAGATAAGTGCTAATTGTAAGTCTGTGTGAACAGGAGAAGCCGCGCATACATAATATATGTATGTACAAGGCAAATAACCGTAGTGCGCGCGTCGACGAGTTAACGAGCCGCGGGAATAACAAATTGTTGTCACGCCCCGTCGGCAAAATTTTCAATTAACCGCCTAGCGGTCGCTCGTAAATCGTGAAAAATTGACGTACGCAAAGAATAGTTCCCGTTACGATTTTTCATTAAATCTTTTTCCCCCGTTCAATGCGACGGCCACGCGGGATTCATTTTTCCACGTACAACGCGATTTCAGTTTCTCGTTCATTTTAGTAAAATACGGCAGAGTACTTGATGAGCGAAATTAATCTCTGTTGTACATACGCTGGGCCAGGAAAAATTATCGTGCAAAATCAGCCAGTACTCGTTAATTTCGTTATAAAGCCTGACAGAAATACAAGGATATGAGACTACTCGTTTCCTGCCCGGGACAAAGCGTACGTACCGTGTATTAAACTGATTCAACCCTTTGCACACTCATACGTCATACTGGAGACGAAGTACTCTCGTATTCATTGAAAATAAATCGAGTGCAAAGAGTGAACGACGTTGTAAGAAGATGCGCATACCTGGTGGTGTTGATGGTGAAGATCGTCTCGATGGACCGTCGGTCGATCACGCCGCTAAGTAAATACTGAATGGCGATCAGGGCCAGGACGACGCAGGCGATCGCCTTGTAGAAGTGGGCACGATGCCACAGTGCCACGGCTGCGGCCACAGTCATCGCATCCGCGAGACACCATAACTCCGTTCTATAGCTGTTTTGAAGAGCGCCGTACGAGAGACGAGCCGCTCTATGCTGCTCGCTCCTCTCCTATTTTTCCCTCACCCCTCCTCTCCCCGTGTCCGAGAGAGGATCCGCCGCCGTTCTCGCGGGTTCGATTCGGAGAACGAGGACTTGCCTGCAGCTTGTTCCCGTTCCCTCTCGCCAGGTGCATCACCTCTTCAAGGTAGTTTCGATGTCCTGAAGGACAGATGAAAACAATTCACGTCAAGTGATTTGTTCCTTCAATGCAAGAGTCTATTGTTTTATTGAGATATTCGAAGATCAAGAATGAACTAATTTTTGCCTTTTTTGATCTCGTCGTATCATTCTTTAGTCTATTCACACGCACTGTGGTCATCTTTTTGACGGCTATCAACTTGGAAGACGAGAGGCATATCAAGCTGGAGGGATGAAAATAGAGCGTGAATCAGAGTGGGAAGAGAACGGTGTGAGGAGGAAGGAAACCCAGAATCCGATCTTGGAACCATTGTAGTACAGCTTGTTGCGTGCAAGATACGGAAACGATATACGTAATAATGAATCTCTACCGAGTAGATTAGATAACGGTATCCGGGTTCCAAAAGCCGGCGTATTCCTGTTTAGTTTCGCTTCCGAAACGTCGCGCTAATTTCGTAAGTCGTAATCATGAAATTGTAAGTCTCCAAGTGTTTGATCGTTAAATAAAAGGTAACACGTAATGTGGGAGTAGCAAGCATACGTGTCAGTAAAAAACATAAGAGGTCTAATAAAAATCTGATTGGAATTGAATCAGATAAGAAAATAAACTTTACAAATCGTCTATAAACCCAGCACAGTATTTTTTTGTGACGCAGAGAAATAATTGTGGGACCGTCGAATCTGATTTCGACAATTATCAAAAAATAATAATACAGTTTGTAAAGTGCGCGGATAAAAATCGGAAGGTGAAAGAAAAATAAATGGATAAATCGAATGGTCGGCGCACGGATCCGCGATGCATCAGTGCTCGCGTAATTTGCTGTAAAATCTACATTCGCGATGGTTATCGTGACACGCCGGCATCAAGCCTTCGGGACACCGAGCGATCGTTTTTAATTGTTTCATACCCGTTTCGTCCGCTTTCGTTCTGGTCTCTCTACCTATCTATATATTCCCAGGTAGCGCGACGGACAAATTAAATTAAACCAATCAAATTAAAACGCAGATCTTATCGGAATGGATGCACGTTCGAGAGTCGCGGCGATGGGAAATAGGGAAACGTTCATGTCTAGTTTCATTAAAACCTCGTCGACTCGCTTCTGTTTGATCGTGTATCGTTCAGAGATGTAAATACCTGTTTATAATAATCAATAAAATCATGTCAAAAAGCTCTTTCGATTTTAAATAGAAGAAACTTTAATACGACTTTTTGTTTATTAATTAATGTCGATCTGACGAACGAGAAGCTCGCGACCGAGCACCGGCGAACCATAATTCGAAATTACAAATCGAGTCTCGGTTTATTTCCATGTAAACGCCGAGTGTGGTAAAATGGCAACGGCGTTCCAACGAGACGAGTTTCCCCGGAATTCACCGAGCTTTAAAGAGGGAACCGAATCGTTGGCATCCAGAGGCAACGGGCTGGGTGACTCGGTACAAAACAAAAATTGTAGGGGAGACGTACAGATCAGAGACGAGAAGGCTGCCACGTTCTATCTAAAAGGAATTCATGAGCGAAGGAATACATTTCCTAAATTTTATTCTTTACGTCGAATAATTTTTCCGTGGCCTGCGTACTTATCGATTTTCTCCTGGTCGCGTCGGTGCGCGGATTGCGTCGCGTGGACGGAATACTGAAAGAGGATACCGTCGTTAACGTTTCTCAAAGAAGGCTGCTCGTTAGAACGTAGCGAACGTCGAACACATTTTTATATGATATCGGAATAGGTTCCAGCAATTTTCTTAACCGGGTTCGATATTTAAATATAGTTCTTTTCGATAAAGCGGCCAGGATCTCATCTGTACGCGCGTATATGAATGCAAATTATACCCTTAAAAATCATGACACTGTGGAAGATTAATCTCGAGAGATCGAACAATCGTAATTTTGCATGAACTGTTTATAGAGAAACGTTGCGCTCACGTAAGTGCAATGAAGTTCATCTGAACGAACAGTGGGTGATAACAATAGGCACGAACTATTATACGAAAGCGATTTAAGTATTATCGATTGGAGGAAGGTCTAGGTTGAGTCAGAAGCCTCGCCGCTTCTCAACCAATTCCCCATCCAAGTCAGTCATCTTGTAAACTTTGTAGGATTCGCAGCAAGCTTTCTGCACCAATGCATCTCGCAGCTGACTGACCGGCCACCGTAAATTACCTCGGCCACGGTACATCTGGCTCTGCCAGCCAGATCAGCCAAACGAACAGCCGTCGTACGCGTGTCGATAGAGAGAGCATTCAGACTTTCAGACCGACGTGACGACCAATCGATATCCCGAACGTAGGTATTTGCATTCGCACGTTTCGCAAGAAATTATCCAACGCTGAGCGAGACACCTGGATTTCACGCGTGCCTATCTGCTTCGGCTACGTCCTCATAATCAAGAAACCCAAGAAAAACCTGTCATGTCGCGTCGAATTATTCATGAGATCCGACGATCGTTTGAAAACCCTATATACCCGTGTGCTCATTATTCTATTCCCCGCGACGCGAGTAACGCCGTAATTCACGGATCTTAATCAAAACTTTGTACGCATATATTACATTAGTAAATACATGAATTAAAAATACATGAATAGCCAACAAGTGTTTTGAGGATCAATTTTTAACTGCTTCTTTTTACACCTTCAAAACGCTTAGGCAATTTATATATTTTGTATAATGATACTTATTAAGGTTTCAGTGGATTGTTACTTATCAACTATTGTATAACAATTACAAGTTTTTAAACGTAACGCAGTCGTGTTTGAGAGAAAAATTGAATAACAATCGTATCTCGAAATGTGCGGAAGCTGTGAAGGTCCACTTTGAAGCTAAACAATTCACGAAAGGGAAATTTCGATGCCATTTCACTGTTCAAAGAAATGAAATTGTTTCGAAACGATTTTCTATCGGTTGAGCAACGGTACGAAATTCCCGTGTGAGTTCGCTGTTTCCGTTGCCCGGTAGACCCTCGACGAGAACTCGGGAACGCAGGGATTCAAGAACATGAACAGAAGCGGAAGAAGAAAAGATTAGTCGATGCTATGGTCGCCATGACGATGGTTATCGATTCCCCTGTATCCCCTTTCTCTTTACTGTTATCCTCCTTCTATGCGTTTCCTCCTTCCTTCCTCGATTTCGATTTATTCTCTTACCGTAATGCATTTCCTTTTCCCATTTCCGGTTTCCTTCAACGTAAACGAACGCTATCTAAAAAACCTTCCTTCCCAATGATTACCCATAATTTTCTTTATAATTGCGTTCAATCAGTCATTATATTATTTATCTTGATTGCCCATTAAATTCAACCAGAACACTTGATTACGCTATGAAATTTTATTTATCGGCCTTACATCAAGGAGTCTGAAAATGTTGTATATTCAAAATTAAAAGACGTTTGATGATGTAAAAGTTAATATAAACTGAGTAAATAAAGTTACTAGTCAATATAAACTGTGACAAATCTGATGGCTCCCCTCATGAAACCGGTCTATTGATCTTACGCGTCACCGACAAACCTTTGTCAAAAATGAATTAGCTAAAGCGAATTACGCGCCGTTCTCGACGTATACGTACCAGTGACTAGCTAATAATTTAATTTCTTCTCCGTTAAAACTCGATAACGATAATAACGTACTATGAACAGGCGAAACAGGGTAACGATATTTCTCTTTGCCATGCTTATTACGCAACAGCGGCGTGTTTGTCTCTCGCGAAAGCTTTTGTAATTACAGGGAAATTTAATTAAATACCGGGTTTAAATCCTGTTTACAAATCCGCGCTCCCTCCTATCAAAGTCACCGTGTTTCCGCGCTCTTCGCGTTGCACATTACCAGTTTAATTGTACCCGCCTAGCCAGCCTCAGTTAATCGGAACGGTCAAAGAACCGCAAAATTAGATCTCGATTACTACGTTCCACGCTGGCCAAGTTCTTCGCCGCAACGCATTTTCTTCTTATAATTAACCCGAAAATTATAACAGATGTTAATGCAAACAACGAGCAGCGACAAATTCCATTCGGGCCGTTAATAATGAAATTGTCTCGCAAAGGAAATTACTGCCAAAGGGTATGCAAAAAGAAAGGACAAACGATTTGCGAGCGGTAGCGAAACGAGGGATACAAACCAGAAGCAATGGTATAATTGAGGAAATTATGAGGCGCGCGGATAGGAGAGTCAAAGGGGTGAGAAAAAATTAACAGCGGTGGGAAACATTACGGAATGCTCGGTTGATGATGGAAGGTAGGTACGCGGCGTAGGTACGGGGGGCCATGTGAGAAGTCGACCGCAATTTATGTTCATCCAACGGCAGCGAACGGAGACACCCGAGCCTCGTTTAATCCCGTAACCGTAAACATATACTAACGAGCTCCACTGGGTAAAATGAAAGTGGGCGAACCCCCTTAAGAGGCTTAAAGATTCCGACTTTGGTCCCTGATGTACGAATACGAGCTTTATACGTGCTTCACCCGCGATCGTTCGAGGTCTCGCATTTCGTATAGAATAAAGTTGTTTGATTCGGGCGAGCTTGAATATTTTAAAAGCTCCTCGGAAGAGCTCGTTTCTTCCCTGATTTACTATTCATCGCTAACAGCGAATAATGTGCTTCGTTCTTGCAACTGTTGCGTGAACTTGAAAACTGGCGAAACTGTATTCTATTATATTATTTATGATTTAATAAACGACGTTCTGAACATTGAACTCGATTTTCACTATTTTCTACTCCACGGCCATTGTGTTTCTCGCCGCTATTGTTACGATTCTTGAGAACCATCAAATAGAATGCCTTCTAACAAGTAGCGTTTGACCTATTTATTATTATATATATTAGCGTTCGAGATTACAGGAAATTACAAGAAATTATTCGTGCAAAATAACCCTCGTTTCGATCTCTCTTGATCTTGATTGAAAATTGAATTTTTATCTTAACCGAACGAGCAGCAAAACGTTAACTTCGTTTGAGCGATTCTCGGCGAGAGGGATCCGATCAATCTTTCAAAGGCGAGTGTTTAACGCGTATAAACGATTTATACATATAGTTCCCGGGGCGAGATGAAAACTTCTGTGAGAAGAGCCGAGAAGGAGAAGAATGAGGAGGAGGACGATCTCGCTTCGAAAGAAAGTCTCGTAACGCGCTCCTTTTAAAACCTCTTTTCGGAAAGTTCTTGAACTACATTCTTCTCGTTCTCATGAATTTAAAAGAGATCTCGACCGCATTCGGAACGCTCTATACAGCCCGTACACTACCCCACCGTCCACAAGTTTCTCAAAGCTAAAGAATGAGACACCGCGAATGCATCAAATTAATATTGCATTCACGAAATTGTTTCAGTTTTCAAATTCCGTTTCACGTAACTCTCCTTATGGTTACCGATATGTATAAAAGCGTCGTCTCATTTCTCGTTAAATAAAAGATTCTCATGGTTGTTTGAAACATTCCGGACGCAGGTAATCAGCTGCCAAAAATTGAACCGAACGCGTAATTGAGGAACATCGAGCGCGACGACACTCAAGGGGGTGAATTGTTGGAAAGTTTCCTCGACTACCGGTTAAGACATTGGCAACTCGCTATCTGCTACCTCTGACTTCGCGGTTGCCGATGCAGAAACATTCGAGGAACTCGTTCCAGCTATAGGTTCGCATCCATCCGAACGTTTCGCTATAACTATTAGTTGGCACAGTATGGAAGCAGTATTTCGCTAACGGTATTCACGCGTTCCGGCTGTGATCAGATAACGCCGACTCCGCCATTCCAAGGTGCTATGCACATAAGAAAATTCGGCTTGCTCAATGATAGGTACTCTTTCATCGTACCTTGAAATTGTCAAACTCGATTCGGTATGCAGATGAGTTCGCCGGTTCACATTTACTAAAATATTCACGCTCGTCCGTACCCTTGTTTCATGTCCAAATTAAATTTGGCAGGAACATATTTTATAATCAGACGGGAGTATGTAACTTTGCTACGTAAATTTTTAATAAAAAAAATTATACAGCTTCGTCGCTGAGAATAAAAAGTTTGGCCACTTCACCAGAGAATTTTATAGGACCGAAGCAATATAAGATTACCGATGTAATTTCTGTTTCCAACTGCAGACTTAATAAACAAACGCATTTGCGAATTTCGCTTCCTATGATAAATTACACAGACGCGCTCTCCACTCAGGATCTCCATCTCTCCGCGTTTCGCGTGCCCCGTCTACATTTTCCAGCTACTCCAGTATTTATTACATATCTCCCACTCTTCACTTCGTACAACTCGAAAAATGAATGTCGCGTTAAGCGCGCATATTCAAAGGAACATGTATTCCCCGTTTTCCTGTTTCCACGTGTGAAAATCGATTTGTCCTTGCGCGAACACGGAACGGGAAAATCTAGAATACCTTCGCGAATGTCGTGATCTCATCCCGAAAGTACTATTAATAAATCGACCGCGATTAGGTAACCGACATGGAAACCTCTTCCGAGTATCCTATAGTCGAACCTCGGATACGAGGACAACCGATCGAGTCACACTTCGAACACTGACAACGCACCTACACTTAATTTAAAAAACATATGAAAAGGATGAAAATGAAGATAAACGAGCTCTTATTTCGCGACGTTTATTATTTTTTTTATACTTTGTCAAATGGGCGTGTATGCATGCTCCGAAATATCAGACTACTTATCGGCTACGCCCAGTTTCTGGTACACTATAAATACACGTTCTATCGTATCTATAATTCGGCGTGTGAATTATTAGATATCTACTTTAAGCAGCGAGAAGCGACTCGTTCGACGAGCAAGATTTGTAGAAAGCGTGTTCGATTAAGTCGAAATTAATTAACCAAGCCGACCTTTAGCCGATCACAAGGTATGCACCGGTCGATGGTACGGGCCTTAAAAATTAAACAGAAACGGGGAAAATCGATGCGTGGTCGAAGGATTAAAATCGTGAAATAAATATGAACTGATCCGAGTGAAAACCGAGCCTGGATGGAACGAACTGAAATAAATATAGGGCAATTTCGCTAGGCAACGTTCGTCTTACTTGCAAGTAAATGCCTGAAATACTTAACCCTTATGAAAGCGTCTTATTTGCTGTTAATTGAAATCACGCGTTTATCTTTCCTGATAAATAAACGACCGGAAATAAGACGGTTTGGCGTTGACTCATCGAACGACTCGAACAAGTCAACATTTAGCATCGAATCAACTCGCGGGACAGAAGGGTCGACCGAGTTCCTCGAGGAAACAAAGTTACCGCAGATTAGATTAACTTGCGTAGGGAAACGTAGCACGATGATGACTACATATAGGTCGGATGTGCAATTTGTTCCTCAGGGACGAACTACGCGAAACTACAAACTACGTCAAGGGCTTTTCTATTCGCTCACTTCCTCACAGAAATAGAATCTCGTGAAAAAATATTTACACTTTGTAAAGTAGATAAACACACGCATATTTTTTAGGATTACTATTTTAATTAAAAATAAAAGAGAGAAATCTTTCATATTTCACGAGATTAGGGAACGAATTACGGGGTTAATAAAGAATATCTGAGAACTGTGAAAAGATCATAGATCAGTTACCAAAATAAACGATGTTACTCTTATAAATGTGCAAATATGGAAGGATATTTTAAGCACCTGTTCCCATGAGAGGCCTAAAGGAAAACACATAAGATCCTCGACGATCTGGTCCCTAACATTGCGGGCTATCATTTCCGGCTGATCAATGGGCACCAAGCCAAACGTCAAATCCGCGCACTTATCGTTAAATACATATACACGTACACGTATACGTTGTTTCGTTCATGCAACGACCTCGGCCGAGGCAACCACACTTTCGCGGTGACGCAGTAATTCGCTGGTCGCTAGTTCTCATAATGTACTTCCTATACTCGGAGGCAATGTAACGGTGGAGAATGTTCGCTCGAAGAAAGCAATCTGTCATAATGGTCAACGTATCACCGGTACTCACAACGAACAGTTGCTTTTCTATGAACGAACATCCGTAAAAAGTTAATCAACTTGGATGTACTTGCGTTTCGAATAAAAAAAACTACTATTTACAGTTACAAGCATTCGCGAGCCACGAGATCATATTCCTCGAATAAATTGCCTCTCCACATCTGTTCTTCTATAGAAAATCTTGTATTCTCCGTTTCTAAACGTATGAAAACTACGACTGTTGCCACTTCGCTGGCGGAGTTGAAGGAATTTCGTTTAAGGGACACCGTCGATGGTATAACAGACGATAAAAAGCGGATGACACGATCGGGATCGCGTGACGGCCCGGCTCGTGATATAAATTATTTATGAACCGTACCTTAAGTACCCACTACTGTACGGTGTCTGTTATATCGATGTGCACGTGCGCGCGAACCTCTAGGCGACAGAAAATTATGATGGGAAAACTTCAATGAACTTCCTTTTAGCTCAGCCGATCTTTTATATATGAATCATAAAAGTAGATTTAATATTGCTTGAGAAAGACACCTAATACAGTCAATTACTTAATTTTCTAAATTATAAATTAGCAATACTCTTGGGAACGATTGTCCGGCATTCGTTCTCGACTCGTATAAGCACATGTTAAAAGTAAATTGGTAGCGGAAGGCAAATCATGTGAACCGCGAGATTCTCATGTTTCCGAAGCGTAACGCAACTACGAGCGTTCAAGAAAATTTGTATTGCGGCAGGACGCTACGAGACAGTGACATTATCGTAAATTGCGCGTATCCTGCGAGTACAGTCACGGCCATCGTGTCAACAATGCAAATACACGTCGTACTGATAAAACTACCTCGTTCGCAATGAAGTCTACATCGTAGATTACATGTAATAGTCACATGGAAATAAAATTAGAATTTATGAAAACGGCCACCGCATCACCGAAAATAAGACGTGATTCAAGAGAAGATCGCGAAGAGACGTCGCTGACTTCATTAAACTTTCTACATTACGTATACTTTAATAAGATAAAAATTACTTTTCTTCGACTTACAATTTAAACTGGACGACGTCCCCGGCAACTCGACTGGCATGTCTTCAGCTGAAATAGAAAAGTAATTTCATTACAGTCTGTCTTATTAATTAATTCCTTTATCAAATATAATCTTTCAGTTAAATTGAATCTACTTTTCGAAAATAACTAGAATTGTGAAAAATAGTTAATAGCTATTTTCGACTTGCTCATTTGTAAGATAATGAAGGCTTGAAATGAACATTTTAATATATTCGCTGATAAGCTTCTGTTGTGAAGAATTTTTAACTCGTTAAATGCAACGATGACGCTTTAAAAAATGAATCACGTGTTGGTCAATTACAATTGTTATCTAGTATTGGAAATGCATCAGAATGGGAAGTCTTCGAGGGAACGGAACTCGTTTTAGAAAATGTGGAGGAGAACATCCTACGTGTGACACTGAAAGAGATTTCACGGTAGCCTGATTCTGGACTAGGTCCAAGTCAAAAATCGATCGACCTTTTAACTAAACGAGTATACGATACACTATGTCTATATAACAGTGAAGAACATAGTTACACCGTCTAAGATTCCATCTGAAATATCCGAGTACAGAAAAAGTTGCTACGCTCATTAATCTGTATTGATTTCACTTTGAGAAACGTACGAATAAAACCTTTTTAGATACACGTCGTTTCACTATTAAATTTCGCAATTTCCAAAACAAGATTTTCCTACTACGCAGAATCATTCGAATGTTTTTACGTTCACGTGGAATTATTTCAACCATGTACATACATGCACGATGGCTCACGAACATCTCTACTTATTCGTAACTTAAATCGAATCGTGACGCTTGTTTCACTATTTTTCAGACTCTCATGCAACATGCAATAGATTATCGGAAATTGCAAAAACTTTTCCGTCCGCCGTACATCGAATTGTAAATTGACAAGGAGGTCATCGGTCACGTTTTACGACGACGTTAATGCGGCGAAGGTGATACAGCAAAATAACATATCCAATCAACTAGGAACATATGAAACGAGATTCGACGGTCGTTAAGCTGACATTTATCGCGCCTATCTGATCCAACAATTAATACTATCGAGACCACGGGTCTCTTCACTTTTGTTCCATTTAATCGTTCAGCCACCGAGCCGCGACAAGACTTTATGTACACAGATGTAATAAAAGAAATGGTGCGATAAGAGTACTTAATTACTTATCAACGAATAGCGCACGGTTCATTATCGACAATGAACATATTCTACGTACGTAGGTGTCTGCTGGAACACCTGAATAAATTTAGAAGATTGAACTACGTTTACCATAAAAATCATTTATACGCCATTAAGTTTATCTACGAATTTACGTGCTATAATTAAACTACGAGGTATAATAACTCATTCGTGTGATTAAAAGTTTCATACGATGAATACAGAGTAAAACAGATGGTGCGACCAATTGATAAGGTATCAGAAAAACGAAATGAGTACTTGCTCGACTAGTGTTTGGAAAGCGTGTAGACATAATTCTTTTTATCAACAACTATTTCGCTGATATTCACGTACTACAACTACTCGTGACGACACTCGTTACACTTACGATGTACTGCCAATAAATTCTCGTTGACAAATCTCGCTGTTCAATTTTAACGAATAAGATCTTCTATCTAATTTATACTCTCTGATAGTAATGTAACGTCGCCGAGTTTAAGGTCTCTTTTATCTACCGTAATTTTAAGACCCGAGTACGCGTCGGTTAAATTATGACATAAATAGAAATGGTCTGAATATTATTTGAGGTATCACCCGGGAGCACTCGTGTGTGCCGTGATACGGTGTCATTTCTGGGGGGCGTTGTAATTTACTACCACTCGGGAGTTAATGCACAGACGGGTCAATGGCAATGTTACCATTCGTCAAGTTATTCTGATAGCTTCGCGCCCCGCGCTTCAACGCCCGTTCGTTGACAATTATTTTACTAATTAATATCAGTCTCGGGGCAATTCGTTCTATTAATAATTTTGCATTCGATTTGCATTAATATCGTACATGTACCAGTGAGAATACTGAAGAATTCTGTTTGTGACGACAATTTTATTTATTTCTTTTTTTCAGCTTATAGATTAGATAACTGTTTGCATAATATGATGTTAGACATTGCATCCCCAATTGTATGTTTAATTAATCGCGGATCTGCGGCGCATATTAACTGAAGACAGTTAATCATTCTGATTAATCGCAAAATTATTACTGCGCGTTTTAAGAGGCTTTGAGCCTTGAGATCTCCACGATTAGTCGAACGTAAGTCTATTAGACGAATAACATTATATAATAATTATGCAACACAAGGTTCGTCTAGAATATTTCACTTTATATGTAATTTGATACAATTCTCTGAATGTCGTGCTAGAAACTTTTAGCAAACAGACTGATCGATAATTATGTTTACACTTGGAGACAACTTACGTACAGCATTAAACAAATTAGTTTATCAAGTGATCGATTTAATTAAAACTCTACGTAGCTCTGAATGGAAATTTTGCCGGAATCTGACAAAAGCTAATTTTGCTCGGACCATGAAATCGATGAATACCGAGATGTTTTCAACTAGCTGCTCATCGGCTTCGCGTAAGTACGAAAGCGTTCATCGAAGTAGAAACGACTCGGTTCGTTTGCCGCTGGAATCGAAATATGTAAAGGAAAGGGAGAAAAAGTAGGTAGGCTCGTCTCATTCAGTGCCAGTTCCCCTTGAATTGTATTCGTACGTTACATAACACTTGCCTTTCCCACTTTCCCTCCGCGCTATGTAACACGCTCTGCTCTTTCCGTGAACGACAACGCGACCGTCGTTCTTCCGCGGTCGCCCACGTGCTACTAACTACGCTATACCACTGCGAGCAGCAGATAGTAGTAGGTTCCTCTCTCCTTCCGAAGCTCGCGTGAAACCTTGACCTTTCGCGTTCCGATACAGAGATCTCCGCCCGTCGAAAAACCGAACGCGCCTTCATAATAGATTTCCTTTTCCTAGACTTCCTCCAATCCGACCACGTAGGTAGCATTCACAATTCACACCGTGAAACGGACTTTCTCGGTGATTACAATTTTGTTAGTTCCATTCTCCCAGTCGGAAAATTAAGTATTTAAAATAAATAGTGATGAAGGTAATGTCACCTACTAGTTCTGACACTCTCGACGATCATGTTTGTGATTATTATCGATGACACTCGATGTTAAAATTGTAAACGATTACCCTTATCAGAATTTTTTGAGCGAGTAAAAACTCTGAGAGATCTCATCAAATAGATTATCGACATTGTGATTGATAGCGACTGACGTGTGAGGAACAAACGATGCTGAGAAACTCGTAAAGACTCGTTGCAGGTGGACCGAGCCGATCGCTTAGACATTTTACGAAGGGCGACGAATGAAAGGACTGAAAGGTGCTACCGGAGCAGCTGAACGAGCATTTCTTGACACCGATACAGTAACTGACCTTCTCAACGCAACCGGTTCTCGCGTGCGGGTCCTTCCCTCCTGAAACCTCGTCAGCATTCACCCGACGTTCACCGTGTCCCGCCGCGGTCCTCCACTCTAATTAAACCCGTTCACCGTCCGTTCTTCTTCCCGTTCTTTCTTCCCCGAATTACTTCTCATTCAATTTCTGTCTATCGTGCCTTGCGTCTGGTTCCGTTGAAACGCGAACGAGCGAACGCGCTACGCGACGTCTCGGCGAAGACTGGCGAGGTGACCGGCCGCGAGAGACGGTGCCGGCGACGACGCGAGGTCGGCGTCGACCCAAAGCGCAAACCCGAGTCAATGACGGTGAGCGCGATTGGTTGGAAAACGTGATCTCTTCGCGCTCGCACTCGTCCGCGAATCAATGCGCTTTTTCGAATAAATCAACGAAAACGAGAAGAAAATCTCCATATCTATAGATAACGGAACTTTTCACATACCTCGGTGAGTTATCTCAACGTGAGCATCCACTAGTATCACGTGCTCACATTATATCACAGTCGCGTGTCAACATTTGATTATCACGCAGAAATTCCTTCTATTCTGTTATTTGAAGTACGATTTTATCGGAACGGCTGATGATTCATTGCGGGACTCATTATATGAATACGACTTTATTTACTTCATGATTTAGAATAATTTTAAGACTCTTAAAAGGATTCTGTGCAATGATACAATATGATACAAGTAGATGTACGCTTAATCGTCGATATACTTGCAAAACTCGTGTATGTAAATTGTAACGCTGAAAGCAAATAATAATTGACGCACCGTCTCAGCGTGGCGAACAGCCAACGATACTAGAGATGTCAATTGATCATCGTTGAACTTGATCCCATATATGCAAAGAGTTAATTTCTCGTTGGAGCGATGGTTGACTATCAGCGACAATCTTAAAGTAGGTAGTAATCACCAAATATTTGACCGAGTAAATTGTACTAATAAAAGTGGAACATTCTTCGAATGAGACCTTGACTAAGAATCGCGATAAGCGCGACTTTTTGCTTGTCACGCTATTTGCAAGTCGATGTCTTTTTTTCCTCACTAATTAAACGGTAAAAATAAACTGCGCAAGAAGTCGAGGGAGATAACAGTGTAATAAATACACTGTCAAGACTATAATAATTGTCTCAAACTTAATTATTCGTGGATCGATCACGAATGACATTCGCAAAGGTCTTACGGAGCTATGAAATATTTCATGTGGAATAAACTACGAAATGAGTAAATTACGTGTGCGACGTGAGACAACGATATTTTTTAGTAGCAGAAATGAAATCGAACACAGATACGCGATATCTTCGGTCTGGTGAATTTCATTGCGCTTCCTGCGACGATATTTAAATGAGAAAGCGAATCGTACGAAGGTAGAAGCTCGTGTCCCAAAAGCGACTCTTTGATCGAGATCGATTCCGGGCATCCGGTTAAATAAAACAGCTACTATCGGTTTGGACACGCAAGCATCTTTTAATTCAGATTTTACTGCATTACGTATTCGAATTCATCCCCCGTGACACGCTCTTCGTCCCGCAGAGTACGTTTTACCCCGAATTTTCGCATATA